TTAAAGGAAGATGAACCACCTTCGATCTGAATGTGCAGGTACACTAACAGTACTATCACTGAAACAGAATAGTGCCGCTAATTGGTATAGGGGCACTTATCGCAATGAGGGTGTTTCGCACTCGATAGGGGTGATTATAAGAACAGCGGCGCTCATTAACAAAAACGAGTTCGAGGGAGGCGCTTATTAGAGGGGGTGCTTACAGACATACATACATCTTTATTTAACAATGCAGGTTATGAAAATTGGCAAGAACGAAGTCCTGATGTGGACCTGCCTAACTACAGCTAATTAAATATTGTCACATTAGGTAAGGATAAAAATATAAGTGAACGAGATATAAATTTCTTCTTAAATACAATAATGATTAGATAAATTTAGATGTAATCATTATAAATAATAAATAAATAACTAAAAATAAAAGAAATCATCATTTTTCATTGAAACACAGAAGGAAACTCTGGCAAAATTTATGCTATTTAGTAGATGTTTCTTCGCATTCAGCTTAATCTTAAAAGATCTTAAAATTGCACAGTCTTTGACATGATGCAGAAGAAGGTTCCATGCCAACGCAGCCCTGTGTTTAAAAGAGGACCTGCCAATTTCAGATCTTGGTCTTGGCACTTCTATATTTAAAGAATTCCTTAAACTGTAATTGGGTTTTGCCTTAGAGAGGAGAATATTCAGTTCCTCTGTATTTGAACCATGATAGGATTGGTAGGTCACAACCAGCAGCCTCTTTACATAATATGGAGGGAGGTGCTTATTAGAGAGGGTTTACAAGCTTATTAGGAAGGGGGTGCTTACTAGAGGGGGTACTTATTAGAGGGGGCTTATTAGGAAGGGTGCTTATTAGAGGGGGTGATTATAGAGGGGGTACTTATTAGAGGGGGGTGCTTATTACTTATTAGAGAGGGTGCTTATTAGGAAGGGTGCTTATTATTATTAGAGGGGGTGCTTAGAGGGGGTGATTATTAGGGGGATGATTATTAGAGGGGGTGATTATTAGAGGGGGTGATTATTGGAGGGGATGCTTATTAGAAAGGGGGTGCTTTAACCCTTTCACTCCCAAGATCTAATTAGTAATTCTCCTTACTATCTGCCATACAATTCTTATGATGTTAGTTCAGAGAATTTGGTATTGGATCAACTAATAATCCCATGATTGATATTCTCCTCTATTCTCATCACCTGCCTGCTTGATATTGTATTGACACTGTAAGGAGAAATTCTGTCTTGGTCACTTGTGGGAGTGAAAGGGTTAATGGCATGAGGGCATCAAATCAAATCATTATGGTGCTGATCAGTGGAACCTGTTTAAACAGTAAGAAAAGCTATTGATTTTAACAGTTGACTCAAAAGTTCATGCTTAAGTATTACTCACTTGTTTAGGTGTAGCATCCTTTGTAATAATTCTTTGAAACATTGTCATTTCATCAGTCATCCACTTTGTTCCTACATTTCTTAATGGCCATTTCTTGCTCTTCCTGTTTCTGCAACACGTCCTGAGCTGATTTATACATGTCCTAAAGGGAATCCAACTGTTTTTTCATCTTCTGTGAAAGTATCATAAGGGCAATTCTGTCTGTTGTGGTTCTTCAAGCTCACAGTGTTAATCAATCAACTTTCCAGAATAGTGAGTGATTCCAATGGTACTTATTTACTATGCTCTGTAACTTGTCTGTAGAACCTCAGTAATTTGTGAAATCTTAAACAAAAAAAAAAAACCAGTCACCACAGAGCTAGCAATGTTTACCAGTGATGCCCTTGGTTATCTGAAGTGAGAATCCTTATCCACAACTTGTGATATTTTGGACACAGGCATTAGCCAGTTGGCTTTTTACAAAGCGCAAGCTAGGAGTTAAACTAGGGGCAACCAAAAACAAATCCAGTGAACAACAGAGTAAAGAGTTGAACCCAGGACCGCAAGAGTACAAGTCCAGCACCCTAACCTCTCCACCACAATGTCTCCAATAATGCTGGCAAAATTCATGTGAATGTCACATGTACAATAATATTCAACATATTTCAAGATACAAGGTGTAGTAAAATTAACGTCCAAGGAGAACAATAAAGATCATTGAAACTATTTAGCAACTGGGCTTGAACTGAGTCTAATTGAGCACTAGGATTAAAACACCTATCATTCAAAATGAGACCATCCATGTGTCAGAAAAGTCATGTTACATGCATTATATTTTACTCTATCTTTTCTCATTGCTGGGTTCTTCTCCTAGTTTTACATTAATTGAAAAAAGAATGGTATCTACTTGTCATTCTCAACAGCGATTTTCCTTTACTTAATAGTCACAGACAGATCGTGTCACCAAAAATTTTAGAACAGATTACCCAATAATTTTTATTTTTGCCTTTATGAAGTAGCTTCCTTAGAAAAAGTTCAAACAAATCTAGCATGTTGTCCATTGCACCCAAACTTTTGCTGCTTAAGTCATCACAGCATCATTATCATTATCACTTCAATCTGCCTTTAAAAACATCAGCATTTAATTATCTCATGCCATGAAAAAAAATTCACTCAAATGACTGGATTAATTTGGCCACTGCTTACCCTAATTAATAAAATTAACTAACCCCCATTTTTCTTGCCTTGATGAGCCCAGAAGAAAACTCCACGCAGTTCAACCAATTCTTAGTGTCTTGATTTAGAGTTAAAATGCATGAAAACATTAAGGTGATTCCTCAGTTTATCAACGCATATCCTGTGATGTGCATTAAAATCATGTAATCAGGGGAAAGAGCACATGTGTATTCTGAGAACATGGTACTGTTTTTCAATCCATGGACCAGGTTAAAGAGGTATGAAGGTCTTTAGCTCTTATACGAGCATGGTGACCTATATTTTTTATTGCATAATTTTGGTGTACCATTTATTCCCTTTAAATTGGGGATTTTAAAAAAAATGCTTCGAAGGGGAAAAAAGATAAGGCTAAAAGCATGCACATAGCTCTTTATTTGAGCATGCAAATTATGATCTTGAAAGAAACAACTCAATGAACATTTTGAGTCTATGTCATTTAAATTTGCCTGATTTTCCCATAAATTATTTATCAAATTGTTCCATATGCTCCAAACTTTCTACCTATTGTATCAAGTTGTTTTCAAGGGTTACTTAAAAAACCCTAGCTTCCACCTGCAGCAAAATGTACTGTGAACTGATTAAATGACACACATCATTAGTGCCAGTACAGGTATAAATGGGGTATGTTTGGCCACTTATATCTCCTAAACAAGCACAGTGACTTATCTTTTCCAAAATTTATGTATCATTTCAAACAGACATTTGCAAGGAACTTTTAAGGAAAGTTTAAGGAAAATTGTTCAATAAACTGTTTTTCAGAGGAATCACCTAAACTAACTTAATGTCTTTTAAAAGAAAGATACTGAATGCTCTTCTTTTTTCCAGTTTCAATTTGTTCACATGAAATAAATCAAGCCAGTTCAGAAGTTCTCTTGCCAAGCAAAGCAAAGGTGACTACAATCTTCAAGCAAAGTGCTTCTGTTATAGTTTAAAAGGCACTCAATGACAGAGACAATCTGTTACTTGTTCTAATTTATTACAAATTCTTCATTTTAAAAGAAGTTTAACAAATTAAAGTTCATTTAGTTTCTTTTCAAATTAATTTTCTACACCACACAGTTTATAATAGCACTTATTCTTAAGTATCTTTGTCTACAACAAAGTGTTCCAAAAGACACTGAAACATACTTTGGGATAACTGATTATGATGAGACTTGCAAAAGATACTTTGTTGAGGTATTGCAAAAGCAAGAGAAATTACAATTTCTGCCTTTTAATTTAACAATCCCAGGGAAGACTGCTTGATGCCTGCAGAGCACAACTGAAACTTAGGTTTCTCAATGTCTAACTTAGCTAAATTAAAAATCCAATGAGACAAATTGGCCAATTTACATTTAAATGCTATTGGAGTCAACTTTGAAGAACCCAATCAAAAGTTTGAATTTTGTAAAATGGATTCACAGTCTATTATTTTTAGCTCTTATATTAAGAACCTGTGATAAGCAGTCATTCTCGAAATAAATCACCATGATAGAATCTTAAATTTATTTAGTATGGGAAAATCAGAAAAAGCGAAAAGAAAAAAGGTGTTGCTCTTCTAGACCATAAATATGTTTACAATGCGGCTTAAAATGGGTGTGCAAAACCTTTAAAAATAATCTCCTTCCAAACATAGCCATGCCAACTGATTTACATGGAAAATACATTTTGTATCTGCGTCAATTTATATTCTGAAGGACATTTAATTTTCGTGGTGTTTGTTGTGACTCACGAAAAAAAAACAAAAAAAAATCGAAGGGTTGGTTCATGTTAGGGTAGTTCATTTGAGTTGTTCAACGGGGTTAAGTCCATGCACTGGAGGACATTGTTCTGTCCATCACCCTATTCCTTGGTGATCAGTGCAACATTTGTTAGAAAATGAGTAAGTAACGTTCCTATGTAATAAGATAAATTTCATTGACACTGAATCGGTTAAAAGTTCTTTGAAGATCTCTCACCTTTCGAAGGGTTCCTAGTAAACATTAGAATTTCATCATGGTAGAAAGACGTTACTTAACACATCCGATGTACAAGGTGAAGATCAGACGAGTTTTTAGAACAGGTCTTCATCATTCGTCATCATCCGTCATCAAATGTACCACAATATTGTCGAAACAAACCGACTCTTCAGTGCGACATTGATTCAGTTCTAAATTCACGGCAGCTCGTCCGCCATTTTCAACGTGGCTGCTAAGAAACTGGGTCGAAAGCAAGTCTAGGCCAATCAGAGAGAAGACGCCGTGTTCAGAGAAATCTCGGTGCTTAACTGTTGCGAATCTGGATTTTGATTTTGAAATCGGGAATTCGGAAGTTTCGTTAAAACATGAAATCCAAAAACGATTTTCAACGCTGAGAAATCCGGCTTATCCTCGGTGTAAAAACCTCACAACTGACGTCACGAAACGATCGGCGTCAGTCAGTGGTAAATCAATGGATCATTAGATCAATGGATCAGTAGATCGATGGAACTGTAAATCGATGGAATAGTAGATCGATGGATCGGTAGATCGATGGAACAGTAGATCGATGGATCGGTAGATCGATGGATCGGTAGATCAATGGATCAGTAGATCGATGGATCGGTAGATCGATGGATCGGTAGATCGATGGATCGGTAGATCGATGGATCGGTAGATCGATGGATCGGTAGATCGATGGATCGGTAGATCGATGGATCAGTAGATCGATGGATCGGTAGATCAGTGGACGGGTAGAAATACTGGAGGAAATCAGCCTGGGGAAGAGGTCTCTCTGTTTGTCCTGGTAAAGAGTTCCGGTAGAAAACATGGCGGTCACGGCCAAAGTGCTAGAGCTATGGTTTTCACAGTTTTTCTTGGTTTGTCTTACGACTCGGAGTTCTTTAGTCAAGGTAAATAAGGAAACAAAAGAATTTATTCGGCTTGTCATTGAAAATAGCAACAGACAAGTCATCTGCTTCTCAAGTGGGCCTGTTCGTGCAATTCCTCGTGGAACGCGTGTCAAGAATGCAGTTGGTGATTCCCCCAGTGCTTTTCTGGTACCAGATGTCTTGTTGTGGGATCCGCTGTTACATTTTCCAGAGCTAGTCCTTCTCTGTCCGTCATGCGATGAGACAAATACTCAAGAGACCCTCAACCTCATTCGTTGGAAAGATGGTAGTAAGGACTACGACCAACCACGTCTTCTGTATGGCCTAAGAAACGATGTGCTGCTCGTTGGACGAGTCTACCTGTGTCGAAATAAGCACCAAATTCTTAGTCACGATCAAGGCATTTTATATCAATTGAGAGCTGGTTTTCAGCCGCCATTTATGTTATTTCACAAGATAGGAGTCACAAGAGAGTTGTTCCGGTTTTTCATCTCGCACATAAGCGCGGGGATGACAATTTCCGATGTCCAAGTCCTTTGGCATCAAAGTCTGTTTGACGAGTATGGTGTACGAAAGATGAGTTTCCTCACGGAGAAGAACGAAAGCCCAGAAGCATTTCCAAGTTTTTCACCGAAAGGCATCAAGGTTGGAGAAAAAGTTTCAACATGCTGTTATATTATGGGATACTTTGAAAAAGAACATCTGTACCACAAAAGAATGTGTCAGATGAGAGCTTCTTCATTAAGTGCTGATCATACATTTAAAGTGTCTGCAAAAATTGGCTTTTGGTGTGAGGGAAAGTGGATACAGCTGTATGACAGTTTATTCATAGTTATGAACGAAATCGGCATAGTTTTAGCCTGGAAACTTTGCAAGGGAACAGCTTTCGATAAAGTTAAAGATCTGTTGACCAGTTTAAAAGACAGACTTGCCTCTAAAGGTTGTGTTGTTAACCATTTCTATATTGACAACTGTTGCAAGTGGAGGCATAAACTGAATTCTGTTTTTGATGAGGTGTCTATAAAGCTTGATCCTTTTCATGCAATACAGAGAGTAGTGACAAAAATACCAAAGAAGGGTGGCAGTGGGCCACTTCAAAAGCTGCGCACACAAATGCTGCATGACTTTAAATTGATTCTGAGGGACCCAACAGACCATGGAATGAAAAGATCAAAGTCAATTCCATCAGTGAGTATTATTGAGAAAAACATTGATAACTTTCTTATACAGTGGAAATCTGTAGAATATGAAGGAAAAAAGGTTATCCCCCAGAGTGCTATTAATGAAATTGAAAAATTATTAGTTCATGTCCGAAAGGATTGTTTGTCAGATATTCCACCTTCTGGAGGTACCAGTCAGAATGAAGGAATTCATAAAGTTCTTAACAAAACTCTGAGGAAGTCAAGAATTGGAATCCAATTTGCATTAGCACTTCTTGGCATTTTCTTTTATATGTGGAATGAGAAGAAAATAACAGCAACTGAAGACCAAAGAAGAATAAGGGTGACTCCACCAATTGAATCACATTTTGAACATTTGGAAAGCAATCAAGATGGATCTGGTAATCATCATTTTGGAATAACTGATCAAGATGTGGTCCTCCCTGGTGAAAATCTTTCAAGGATCTTTAAGGATCTTTCAAGATCTTCATGAGGACCTTTGAGGATCCTCTTGAGGATCTTCATGAGGATCTTCAAAATTCTTGTTAAGATCTTCAAGGATCCTTCATTTTCTTGCCAAGATCTTCAAGGATCTTTGATTTTCTTGCCAAGATCTTCAAGGATCTTTGATTTTCTTGCCAAGATCTTCAAGGATCTTTGATTTTCTTGCCAAGATCTTCAAGGATCTTTGATTTTCTTGCCAAGATCTTCGAGGATCTTTGACTTTCTTGCCAAGATCTTTAAGGATCTTTCATTTTCCTGTCAAGATCCTTGAAGATCTTGTCTGGATCTTCAAAGATCTTTACATGAACTTTGAAGATCCTTTAAAGATCTTTGAAAATTCTTTGAGGATCTTCCAAATTCTTGTTAAGATCTTTGAGGATCTCTCATTTTCTTGCCAAGATCTTCAAGGATCTTGTTGAAAATTTTGAAGATCCTTAAAGATCTTGGAAAGAAAATAAAAGACCCTTAAAGATCTTGGCAATAACTTGAAAGATCTTTGAAGATCTTGGCAAAAAAAAGAAAGATCCTTGAAGATTTTGACAGCCAAATTAAAGATCTTTGCAAGAGATTTGAAGATCCTTAAAGATCTTGACAAGAATGTCAGTGAACCTTGAAGATCCTGGCAAGGAAATGGAAGATCGTTGAAGATCTTAGCAAGAATGTTACAGAACCTTCAAAATTTTGACAAGAAAATAAGCATACTTAAATCCTCATACTAAGTTAAAAAGAAAAATTGAACCAAACATAAAAAAATGAAGATAAAACTTTTTTTATTGCTAAACGAGAATTACCCATCCTCTTCTAGTAGGACTACTTCTACACTATTTCTGTTCAGACTTTAGGTTAGCACTAAGATTATCATTTTCCAAAAAATCTGGCAACAGTCCAGCTCAAAGATAAGAAGACCAAAATATATGTGTTCAACTTGTCTAGGACTAGACTATGACCAGACTCAGACTACTCTTACAGAGGGGGTAAACATGAAAAAAAGGCAAACAAGAGTACTTCAATGACTATATTTCTAAACCATATTAACCTATATACCAAAGGAAAGCTTAGGAATCACACATACTGAATATAACTAATATGTTGCCCTAAACCAATTTGTTATTTGACATCAGATCAATTTGTCCACCACATGGTGTGAAAAACCTAGGTATACTTGAGAAAAGATAACTGCACAAAGATTGCATGAAATCAAGTGTTTTTAGTGTCAAAACAAAGTACTAGGGTCGTTCTTTTGGATGAGCTGAGGAACTTTTGGAGTCGTTTATATTATGGGCACAGTGCCCGTTCAAAGTTCACCGTGATTATTAGGTGAGTTATTCCACAATATCTTACTTAAAATTCAGCTTATAGAAAAACTGTCATCTTATCCAACTCAACTCAGTAAGAGGATACAGCCCTGAAAACCTCAGATTAATTGAATTAATACATCCTGAGGTACAAAATAAGTGTTTTTGGGAATTCATATGAAAACCTCTAAAAGAGCTTTTTAAGTTGGTTACACAAAACCAAGTAAATTCACACCTTCTTCAGAAACATGTCCTTCAGTGAGCGTCGAGGAGAATCTCTCTAGATCGATAAGCCTGTATCCTTGTCCCTGTAACACATCATTTGCATCCTCACTCTCCAAGAGCTCAGAGCAAGAATCATTAGGCGAGGATGGCATCTTCATTTTCTTTCCAGAAGTACCAATGAATTATTTTCATTCAGCCTCAGAGTCAGAGCAATCGCGAGACCTGCTTGGAGTTTGATTGACGATTTCGGTTGTTTCTGTCTCTCTTTTCGCTTGTTTCTGAACTCCAGAAAACGCCTTTCCTTTACTTTTATTTCTGTGTACATTTTCCCTTTAGTTCCGACCATTGTCGATGATATTTGCCGTAACAACGAGCTTCTTATGTTTTCATGCGACCGTTAAAAATCTCGGCGCGTATAAATTCCTATCCCATAATGCAAAACCCTATTTGTTGTCATGTAAGTAGTCACAAAGTTTTCCGAAAGCCTCTAGCATGGCGTTGCTATGAGGTAATCTTCATTACACTCATTGCACAATAATTTTCTGCGAAAATTCCTTGTTGTGTTTAAATTATATAAAACAGTGAGCCCTCAATCTACAATTTTGTTATGTTTGAAATTACTTGAGGATTTCAAAGAAACCTAATTCATAATGCAGAGATGTGGTAGAGATCTTGACAAAGTTGCCTTTGAGATCCACATCAAATTCAAAAAGGATCCTTACAAAGAGCTGTACAAAATCATGAAATGAATCTTTTAAAGATATTTGGAAGATCCTTTTCAATTCCTTGAGGATCTTGAAGGATTGTAGAACAGATCATGCAAAGATCTTGACTAGGATCCTTGTAACTCCTGATCAAATTCTTAAGGATCTTAGCAAAGATCTTAGCAGGATCCCTAAAAGGTACTTTTGAAGGTCTTTAAAAGATCCTCATTAAATCCTTGAGGATCCTGAAGGATCCTTGAAAAGATCCTGCAAAGATCTTGACTTAAGGATCCTTGATCAAGATCCTGATCAAATTCCTAAGGATCCTGGCAAAGATCTTTACAGGATCCTTGAAAGGATCTTTTGTAGGTCTTTAAAAGATCCTCATTAAATCCTTGAGGATCTTGAAGGATCCTTGAAAAGATCTTGCAAAGATCTTGAGTAGGATCCTTGTAAGATCCTGATCAAATCCTTAAGGATCCTTGCAAAGATCTTAATAGGATCCTTGAAAGGATCTTTGGAAGGTCTTTAAAAGATCCTCATTAAATCCTTGAGGATCTTGAAAGATCCTCAAAAAGATCCTGCAAAGATCTTGACTAGGATCCTTGCAAGATCCTGATTAAATCCTTAAGGATCCTTACCAAGATCTTGAAAGGATCCTTGAAAGGATCTTTTGAGGGTCTTTGAAAGATCCTTGCTAAATCCTTGAGGATCTTGAAGGATCCTTGAAAAGAACTTTGCGAGGATCTTTATGAGGATCTTTGTAATATCCTTTGAGGATCTTTATCAAATCCTTGAGGATCTTAACAAACATTTTTGCTTACAAAGATCTTTGAGGATCTTTTACAGATCCTTTAAAGATCTTTTAAAGATCCTTGTCCTTAAGGATCTTTGGCAGGTCTTTGTCAATCCTTGAAGATCCTCAAAGATCCTGTGAAGTTTTTCACCAGGGCTACCAAAAACTGGAGACTTTGGCTTATCTTCATATTGTAGTAACCATGGACAAGATAATACTCAGGGAGAAATTGTGGAACAATTAAGTAACTTTTAAGATGGCATGTCATCAAACATATCCTCAGATGAAGATGAACCCAGTGTTTCTGAAACTATCTCACCACCACCCTTTCCCAATTTGAGCAAACAGCAGCAGCATAAAGTTATGAAGTCAGCAAAGTGTATGGCAGAGCTTTGTGAACAAATTCAGTCACTTGGCCAGTATGCAAGATTTAATCCAAACTATTTGTTCTTTACAAAAAGTAGCTTGACACTTTTCCACTCTGGTTTAGTTAGCAACAAAAAGTCTTCCTCACTTGATAATGTTCTATCAAATTTCAACATGGTCCGTGTTAATGTTCCACCAAATGGTAACTGTTTCTTCCTGGCTATTGCATATGCAATAGTCAATCGCATTATTCCAAATAAAGCAATATCAAATGATTTAGTCAGCCATCTGGAGTCACTTAGACTGATGAACTGCAAAGACACAAATAAAATGAGCCATAAGCTGCGAGAATTAATAGTACATGAGTGGATCTCTCACCCAGAGGATTACCAGCCCTTCCTTGGTGTTGGACAATTGTTAGACCATGAAGCATCTTTATTTCTTAATGATGGTCATTTCGCATCAGAGTTAGGCAATTGCATGGCACTTGCAATGGCAAATTTACTCAACCTTCCAATTGTAGTAATCACACAAATGGAAAATATGTCAGTTGTCCCAGTTACTCCAAGGGAAACTCTTCAGTGCCTACCAATCTTTGTCGCATTTGATCATGCAGGTGTGGGTCACTATGATGCTGTGGCACACAGTACAAGCCATTCAGTGGTCAATGAAACACAATCATGTTCAGTCAGCAGCATAGCTACCAATCCTGAATCTTGTCGTTGTGGTCAAGGCGCAAGAAACAAAGAATCCAATATCACCTCTTGTGATCACTTCAAAAAAAGGTGCAAGTGTTTTCAAAGTGTGAAAGGTTGTAATGACTACTGCCAGTGTCTTGGGTGTGAAAACCCATATGGAAAAAAGGCAAAAGCAGAATACAATAGTTATCCATCCGAAACAAGTAAAAGAAAACGACGAGCACAGGAAATGACAACAGAGAGTATGTCTGGAAAACACTTTCTGCTTAAAAGAACCTGCTTGGAGAGTGTTAGCAGATGGACACTTCTTGAAGAGCTAGTGAAATATAGTGAAAAGGATAGGTGCAAGAATGCAGCTTGATACTAGTTAATGTGTTACTAATTGTTGGTTTGGGGAATCAGTATTTTGCAGCTGCTAGTGGCTGCAGAAAAGAAGAAAAGGGGTTTCTTATAGCAGATGCTCCCCACCCTCTTTGCCAGTCTCCCTCTTTTTACCCCTCATTACGCCTACTAAGCAGCCTACAGAATCTGTGTAGCACAGTAAGTCTGCAAGACCGAAACAAACTCAACGTCCAAGCCTATTTGTAATTAAATTTGGATAAGATGTGGCATCTGTAACTGATCTAAAGTCTGCTGGATTTGGAATGCCAAGATTTAAACCAGTTGCATTTCTGATATGCCAATATGAACATGCTTATAAAACATGGGGGGGGGAGGAAGTGCAAACTGTTTATTATAAAATAATTTGCATCTCATCAACCATGCCAATCATACCGAATCACAGTCATTATCCCATGCTGGTTGTTATAATTGAATGTGTATGGGGTGATTAAATATTACTGCAACTACCCATCAAATCCTGCTTTCAGGTAGTCAATAAGTTCTGTATATAAAAATCACATTTGTTTTGTTTTGCCTGGTTTTGTCCAGGGTTTTAGATAACATGAGGAATAGTTTATGTGCCTCTTTGTGAAGAACAAAACATTAGCAGAGGATACTTACATATTTACTGAAGACTAAGTAAACCTGGTTACAATTTGTTTTGCTATGATATCTTTATTTTTGTTTCTCCCATCTGCTTAACTGTAACAAAGGTTTTTCTACAACATCAATTGAATAACAATTTATTATAAATAAATATTGTATTCAATCATGACATGTCTCTCATGACAATAAGTCTAGTAACATCCTCTATTTGTTAACATTAAAATTATCTTGGAAAAATGCTGTGTTTTACTAGATGTAATTTCAAAAACATGTGCAGAAGAATAAGAGTAAATGAGGATTTCAAAATTCTTTTATTGGCGTTATTTTAATAAAAATTATTTCAAGCTTTGGGGGCATAATGTTATTGAAATATCACTAATATTTGAAACGTTGCTTTTATGGATATTATACACTTGTGGCACAAACTATGGAAAAAATAACCTTCTAAAAACCTTCCGAATACAGCCAAGTTAATATTTTTTTGTTATCATGCAATCAAACCATGTTCTTCTGCTAATAATTTCTGAAATGCTTTATACCAAAGTATAATTTTTTATCTTAAAGCCCATGATAATCAATAGCTTAAAACTGGAGCACAACTTATAGCAAACATTTTAATCATCATGACATACTTGAGGCATACTTAATGCTGGCCAGTAAGCGATCGCTGTACTATAAATGACTAATGCAATAACTGTTAAAACCCATTCAAGCCCGGGTATTGTGGCCCTGTCGCAAATCAACTGAAACTGAAACTGACTTTTACCTAATCATCATTTGGAGAAACTACACTAATTTTCCCAAGTAGCAGTGCTATGCAACTCTTTTGTCCTTTTCAACATTTGGTAGGTTGACTAGCAGTCTACTCTGGGTATGGGGTAGGATAGGGGGCTAACATTTTGCACTAAATGGATACAGTCTGACTAGAAGAATTACTCATCTAAAATTGGAGCCCCTTCTTGTTGGAGGTATGTATCAAACACCATCGCTTCTTCAAAAGTACTGCACAGTATCAATCAGCAAGGATCAGTCTCTAAATGTGTGTCAGGATTTCTCTGGTTTCTTATTGGTTATCTTTTTATAGACACGCAAAGTTTTTGTAGCGGATAATTTGCCGACCCTGTGGCGTTTGCGGCCGTAAAATGAGAAATATCTAAATTAAAGCTAATCCCCGACACGCTTTTATTGTTTGATGTTTAATGAATTTTCAGGCCAAATTTCATTAAAATCTGTCGATTCTACACATGTCACGCCTTCACCTGAGATGTATGTCAACATGACATGCCAAGCCAAGCAATTCCAATGGTGTGACAGTCACGTTCTCCTAATTATAAAGTTCACCTGGCGATCGCAATGGGAAAATAAGCAGACGAAAAATGCGGTTGAGTTTCATTATACGTGTTTTCTTCGAGTTGCACGTTTGAAGGTTGATCAAACCAAACAACACCCAAGACACTGTCGAACTAGCATTCCCTTTTGCGTTCATTTTTTCGCTGCGCAAGGACTTTTCTCTATTCTTTAGAACTCGTTTCATGATCTCAGTGTAGTCAACTTTAAGTAAAGACAATTGAAGAGCCACGTAGTGAAATCGCATGTAACCAAAAGAAATGCTTATGAGTTCTCGGAATAAGAGCTCCCTGCACGAGGACATTTCGCACGGAAAGTTCGCCCGGGAGTCAAGGCACTGTGAGGAATATGGCACCTATCCATATTCTATTAACTTTTATATAAAAATTTTATATAAAACCCCTTTTTTTCGAAATATCTCGTGCGCGTTTTAAGATTTTGCTTTCCTTTTTTGGTAATGTTAGATTTTCACTTTCAGTGGGGAGACAAATTTTCAACAAAAAGTAGCCCTCTGAAGATATAGTGTACCCTACTGATCCACTGATCTACTGATCTAGCGATCTAGCGATCCATCGATCTACTGATCCATTGATCTACTGATCCACTGATCCATCGATCCATCGATCTACCGATCCATCGACCTACCGATCCATCGATCTACCGATCCATCGATCCATCGATCTACCGATCCATCGATCTACCGATCCATCGATCTACCGATCCATCGATCTAGCGATCCATCGATCTACCGATCCATCGATCTACCGATCCATCGATCTACCGATCCATCTACTGATCCATCGATCTACCGATCCATCGATCTACCGATCCATCTACTGATCCATCGATCTACCGATCCATCGACCTACTGATCCATCGATCTACCGATCTAGCGATCCATCGATCTAGTGATCCATTGATCTAGTGATCCATACTGATCTTCCATCGATCCATTGAACTACTGATCCATCGATCCATTGATCTACTGATCCATTCATTAGCGATCAAGCCCTGGCTGTCATAGATGCTGTGACGTCAGTTGTGAGGTTTTTACACCGAGGATAGCCCAGAAATCCATTCTCAAGGTGGATCTCAATTAAGAGATCCAGTTCCGGATCTCATGAATTTTTATGTTTTGCGTTTTTCCGGGAAATCCAAAAAGGATCTCCTCTAAGAGGGGTCGAAATCAGCGTCGAAATCCGTTTTCGCTCTTCATTTCTTACAACAAAATCCGTTATCTCTATTTCAAAATTTTAATCCGGATTTACCAATCGAAAGCACCCAGAACTTTAGAGCAGTTTTCCCAATATTCCACAAGTTTACGCGCTTATTTTGGACTCTTCTGAATAGAAATAAGATTATTTTTATAAGGCCAACAGCTTTTAGGCTTTTCGATCATCTTATTAAGGCCATCCTCGGCAGTAAGTTTCTTCAAAATTGGTTAATCCACGCCTAGCCTACGTGTACTCGTACTTGGCGAGGGTAGGGTACGGCTACACATAGGCTACTCCATGTCTCCACTTTCTGGGAAATTTTCTCACTGATAATAACACTTGAAGTAGTCAAGAGAAAATAATGGCCTTTATTCTCTCTTGAAACATTTAAATTATTCTTATGGTTCACTTTCAACAAAATGCATTTGAGTCGACCACGAGATCATGAAGTAATAATGTTTTTTTTATAACTCAAAATCTTTTTTTTTTTTTTAATTCTGACAATAGGTCAAGGGCCTCAGTTGAGAACAATAGCTGAGTAAGTCCATGAAGAAGTTCCTTAAATATGGCTCAAATGAGTTTGTGAATGAGCAGTCTTTCAAACTTCTTCTTTGCCATTGCTAAATTGACCACGACGTTTTCCCAGAAACCATCTTTATGCCCTGGAAAAAAAATTAATTTTATTAGAAAGTTTCGTAGCCAACTGGCATGTACATTGACAGGAGCCCACTGACAGTGACATGTACCTCCTTTTTTACTGTATTAATGCGCGTTGATAAAACAGGATTGCAGTTTTATTTCTTCCTTTTCCCCTTTTTTAACAGCAAACATTTTTTCCCAACAGTTTTTACGACAGTGTTGCAGACAGCAAAAAAAAAAAAAAAAAAAAAAAGAAAAAAAGTTTCGTTAGCAAATTTTCTATTTTTATTTTCTATTCATTAATTTTTTTTCGGGTGTACAGGATAGTGGGATTTTGGTCTTGTCGTTTTGAATTGCTGTTATAGACCGAGACAAAAACTTCGAAACTGAGGAATTGAGCTCATGTTCAGTCATCTTGACCTCGCACTTTCTCAACAAAGTATATCTACAAATCCTGGTCATTAAAGTTTTCTAATTTTTTCGTCAATATTTCGGAAACAAGTTTTGTCTTTCCCTCCCCTATGGTATGTTTTTGGTATTCACGTGAGACGTGGGTGATCTGATCAATTAACCAATCGCGTTTTTTAGAGACCTTGACAATGGGGGATTGACATAGACACCCTTTCGAAGTTCAGTTGAGTTTTTGGTAGCATGAACGTGTGTCATGTTACTTGTCATCAATCTAAAACCTGTTGGCCCATTACTTAGCTAATACGCAATCTGATTACGTGCCCGATTGTCGATATAGTTTGTGAAGAGTTTCCTGTTGGAATTAGCTTTGAATAAAGCGGCAGGTAGGGGAGTGGTGTGGGCGGGGACCTGCCTCTTCCCCACCCCCTCCCCCTTTTTTGCTGTTTTTCTTCCCGCAATACTCTTTCCCTCATCCTCGACTTAGGAGCTTGAAAAGTCAGAAGCCATTGTCGCTTTGGCAATTGTTATAGCTTTTCTTCGTCGTGGGAAAAAAATCAAGTATGAAAAAAGCTCAGCGATATTGATTTTTCTTGTACATACCGTAATGATTCGATTTAGCGCCCGGAGCGCTTATTTACTCTTGATACCGAGAGGGATGGCGCTTATTCGAAACGGGGCGCTATTATGGAACACGGCACTTATTTAATTTTTTGAGAACCAGCAAATTGTTCCAAACAAAGCTTTGATGTTTATTTGAAAAGGACCAAGAAGACTGTTGAACGGACATACTGTCCTTGGATCTTTCCTGGCCAGAACGAGTAGCCAAGAAATCGTCGTCGCAAAATTTGAAGGCGTGATCATTCGTTTGAAGGAACTGTGCACACATCAGAATTACTTATAATAATATCTGCATGTGCATCTCTAGAAATATCTACTGCAGCTTTTAAAATTTTATGAGTTTCTTTTGGAAAGGTGTTAAAGTCCGGGTAGGATTTCACTGCAGCCGGGAGGGAGTTAAAACGCTTAGCGGCACAGTCTTGAAATGTGCCTGACTCCAGTGGTATTTTAAGGTTAATAGTTCGCTGGAACGTAAGCATCTACCGTGTTGTACAGTTTCACGCCTCAGATTCCTGGGCCAATGTTCATCATACAGGGCTTTATGCGCTGCTTTAAGTAAATGCCAGTCCCGTCGCTCACTCATTGGTAACAAGCTTAACTTAAATAGAGTATTCATGGTGACCCGTGACAAAGCTGGCAGCGGAAAACTGAATATGCTGAAGCTTTTTAAGCAGATTTTTACTGAGCGGGTAAAATACAATGTCACTAAAGTCTAAGCGTGATAGAACTAACGATTCGGTAAGGTGCTTTCTTAACTTATAATTAGTAAAGTTCTTGACTTTTTTAAGCGTGGCTAAGGTACCATAACATGAAGCAGCTAAATGTTTGATACGGTCGTCCCATTTGAGGTTACTGTGGATGTTAACCCCGAGCAACTTTGTAGATTCGACTCGCTTAAGAGAGTTGTCTCCGAC